ATAGCAGTGTCTCGTTTGCAAATACATCCACTCAAGCTCCGTGCATTGATAGCAGTGTCTCGTTTCGACATACATTCTACTATTACTTTTACTGATACCGCTACTACGGGGGCTGTACTACCATTCTACTATCCAAGACATCCGCCGTACTTCACTGTTACTACTATTGCCATCCACCCACTCCAATTATACTTCACTTCACTGTTACCACTACGCCCACTACTACTACTACACTTCATTCGTTCACTCCCGCCAACAACAACTACTACTTCACTGTTACCACTGTTTCATCTCTCCTGCTCTTATTGCTACTACTACTGTGACTGTTACTGCTGCTGCATGCCTCCAGCTATGCTTCTACACATCGATGTTAGGTTGCTTTGCCGGGGTAATTTTTCCCTCCCCTCCTCTCACTCAGCATTTATCCAGTGGCCATCGGCCTATCCCGCCACCGTGCGTGGGTGGTGGGTCAGAGGCTTCATGGATGCTGGTTGGGATCTCGCGGTTGGCTGGGACTTCTGGGGGCCTCTTGGGCGCCTCTTGGGGCTTTTTGGGGGCCTCTTGGGCCTCTTGGGGCCACTAGAGGGCCTCTTGGGGGTCTCTTGGGAGCCTCTTGGGGCTTCTTGGGGGCCTTTTCTGCGCCCCTTGGGGCCTCTTGGAGGCCTCCTCAGAGCCTCTTGGTGCGGGAGGGGTGGTACTCGAGTTCGGAACCCCCTCGGAGGCCACGATCCTTGTGAGGGGTGTCAAAAAACGCATCCGCCGGAAACTCGCCCCCCCCCCCACCCCACCCCCCCTTCCCCGGCAGAGCCACCCCGGCAACCCCCCCAGAGGCTGAGGCTCAGCCTCGAGGCTGTAGCTGAGACTCCTTGAAACTCACACGCCGGATCGGCGGATATATATATTATATATATATATATATATATATATATATATATATATATATATATATATACATACATATAACGGCGCACCGGGTCCGGGGGCCCGGGGCCGGGACCTCGACCACAAATGTGGGCCCCGGGGGGCCCGGAGGCTCGTCGGACCGCCGGACGCCGTCCAAGATCGTTCGCAGGCGGCTTCGGAACGCGCTCCGATGGCTCCAGATGCCTTCCAAGACGCCTGTCATGACACCAAGAAGGTCCCAGAAGCCTCCAAGACGCTCCGAGAGGCAGCCCAAGAGAGGCCCAAGAAACAAAAATCGTGCCGCTCTTATTGGAAAACGTATATTTTTCGCATGCGGCCCAAGAGGCCTCCAAGACGGCCTAGGAGGCCTCCGGGAGCGCTCCAAGGTTGCGCACGAGTGGCTCAGGACGGCCCCAAGACGGCCCAAGAGAACCCCAAGACGACTTCGAGAAGGGTCCCAGAAGGAGAAAGCCACTCTCGAATTCCGAGCTTCCGGCCCAACATATCCCAGGAGGCGCCAAAACGCCGCCTAGAGGCGCCAAAAGGCTTCCAAAATCAGCCCAAGACGTTCCGAGAGGCACCCCAAGAGAGGTCCAAGAAACAAAAGTCGTGTCATTCTTGTTGGAAAACGTGTATTTTTCGCATGTTCGCATCTTGGGTTTTCACCGCGTCCAAGACGGCCCAAGAGGCCTCCAAGACCGCCCCAAGACGGCCCAAGAAGCTTCCAAGAGGGCCCCAGGACAGCCCAAGAGGGCCCCAAGACGGCCCAAGAGGCGCCCAAGATGGCCCAAGAGGGCCCCAAGACGGGCCCAAGAGGGGGCCCAGAGGGGGACCACGAACCGCAAGCTCGAGCCTTCCGCCCCAAGAGGCCGCCAGGAGGCCCCAAGGAGGCCCCTCAAGAGGCCCCAGGAGACCCCCAAGAGGCCCAAAGGAGGCCCCGAGAAACCCCAAATCGGCCCCCAAAATGCTTCGAACCTGCTTCCAGGAGGCCCCCGACAGGTTCAGAGGCTCCCGAGAAGCTACGTCAAACTCCCAGCGAGCGGCCGGACGAGGCCCCCCACAAAATCACAAGAGGATTCCAGCATTTGTATCCTTCAGCGCTCTCTGGCCTTCTTCCCCCTGCCCCCTTCCCTGCGACTTTCGTTGACTCAAGCTCGCCTCTTAGCTAGAACCTAAGCGCGCGCGAAGCGCGCGCGTGGTTCTAGTGTATATATATATATATATGTATCGGGAGATACCCGTAATACGTAGAAGGTGGCGAGGAGAGAGAGAGAGAGAGAGAGAGAAAGAGAGAGAGAGAGAGAAAGAAAGAGATAACGAGAGAGAAATAGAGAAAAAGAGAGAGAGAGCGACAAAGAAAGGAGCGACAAAGAAAGATAGAAAGATAGGAAGCAATGAAAGAAGCGCAATTAAATCTGCTATATAATGGTTTGCCCAAAGCGACGGAAAAAAAAAACGAGGTGCCGATTGCGCCGACATTCGCGCGCAACCTTCCCGCGCGAGGCCGCGCGCGGGAAGGTTGCGCGCGAAGCCGGCTGGCGGAAGCCGCGGCGGCTGCCCGCGGAAGCCGCGGCGTCGGGTCGCCACGTCTTCTCGC